AGTGTACGGGTACGTAGACAGAATTGTCCAACGGGTAAGTTGGGAAGGACGAACCCTAAACGTTAGTTCTATGAGCAGATGAATAGGAGTAAAGAAAGAATATGATACACACACACACACACACACACACACACACACACACACACACACACAATGGAATACTACTCAGCCATAAAAAATGAAATTTTGCCATTAACAGCAACATGGATGAACTTGGATGGCATTATCTAAGTGAAATATGTCAGACAGAGAAAGAAAATTACTATATGATATCACTTATATGTAGAATGCAAAAAATACAACAAACTATTGAATATAACAAAAACAACAACAAAAAAGAAGCAGACTCACAGATATAGAGAACAAACCAGTGGTTAACAGTGGGAAGTCCAGTGGGTAATATAGGTGTGGAGGAGTGGGAAGAGTGGGAGTGACACAATATTGAGTATAAGACAGGCTACAAAGATGTATTGCACAACACGGGGAACATAGACAGTATTTTGTAATAATTGCAAATTAAGTGGAAATGCAAAAGTTCTTTTAAAATTAAAAATTAAAAAATAAAATAGAATGTAGTACATTCTTACCATGGAATATTATTCAGCCTTAAAACGAAGGATATTCTAACACATGTTACAGCCTAAATAAACCTGAGGACATTATGCTAACTGAAATAAGCCAGTCACAAAAAGAAAAATACTATACGATGTCATTTTTATGACTTATCCAGGGTAGTTAAATTCATAGAAACAGATAGTTTACTCAAGATTACCAGGAGCGTGGGGAGAGGGAAATGGGTACTTGTTCATTGGATACAGAGTTTCAGTTGAGCATGATGCAAAGGGTTGGAGGTAGATAGTGATGGAGATTGTAACATCTATGTGAATTTACTTAATTCCACAATTTGTACACTTTAAATAGATAAAATAGTAAATATTTGTGCATATTTCATCAAAATAAAATAATTAGGTACTTTAAGTGGAAGGGAAATACAAATTGATTGTCTGCATTTTCTATATAAGTGGACAGTCAGCAGGGACAGAGAGAGATTGGTGCCTTAGACCAAATATATCAAGGGAGGAAATCATTACTCATGTTCGATCAGGGACTGTTTCCTGGGCAAAGAGTCGGCACCATATTCAATACAGCCTGGGACCACTGTCCACAAAACAGTGGGCCACTTGTCCACAAAAACAGTGGTCAGAGAAAAAGATCACATTATCTGAAGTAAAAGAAATTCCATCCAAATAACACTGTTGAGTAGCACAACCACACTTCCATGGAAAAATAGACACAAGGAAGAACATTCTAGAGTTGACATATCATTCCTAGTACAGTCATAGAAACAGAATCCACTTTAGTTTATTTAAAAATATAATAAATTTGTACAGGTGATAGAGGAATAGAGATCAAAGAACACAAAATTCTTCTTCAAAGCCTTGAGATTTTTGCCTATTGGTAATAGGAGGGATATTTATTACCCTTTGAAAAGATAAACAAATGACACACTTATTCATTCATCCAACCATTAATCTATTTATTCATTGTTTCAATCACCATGCACCCTGGGTGTTACCTTATTTTAATGTTATCATATTTGGTCCTTAGGGCTCTATAATACACAACTATATCCCCAGGCTATATGCACTAGGTTGAAACCAAACTTAAAAAATGATTATTTGATTGCTACTTAGATTCTTGGTCACTACAAATAAGATATACACACACACACTCACACACACACACACACACACACATACATACATACATACACATATATACACACACATATATAGGACATATACATATATACACACATATATAATTACAATATTTATTTCTGCCTAAATAACATTATGTAAGGCCCAGACAGGGTGTAAGCTGCATGAGGATAAGATCTTTATTTTTCTCTCTTTACATAATCCAGAACAATGGCAGGGAGGACATAAGAATTTAGCAAACAGTGTAAATAATTAGAACTAAGCATTCCTTAATGAGGATTAGAATAGATATGTGAATAAACTGTTAACTACTTTTTAAAGCCTTTTTATTTTTCCAAGTGATCATTATAAGTCAGTTTTATTATTTTTGTATTGAAAGGAAATAGAAACAGTATTTCAAAGAGATGTCTGCACTGATGTTTATTGCAGCATTAGCCATAATAGCCAAGAAATGAAAACATCCTAAATGCCCATCAACACATGAATGGATACAAAAGATGTGGCGCATATACACATACACAAGGGAATATTATTCAGTCACAAGGAATGAGGATATCCTGCCATTTGCAACATCAATGGGTCTTGAGCACATTATGCTTAGTGAGATAGGTCAGAGAAAGATAAGTACAGTGTGATATCACTTACATGTTGAATCTAAAAAAGGCAAGGCTTCTCTTTGCTCTTCAATTCAGGATGTGTCTAGTCCAGGGAATTAGAACATCTGCTTAAGTCAAGCTCTCAGTGGGGACAAATATACAGACACTTCTGTAGAATTGTTTGCTTTTCCACTAAACCCCACGATATATTTGTCACATATTCATTACTATATGGTTTCTTCTTTTAAAGGCAAAGCCATTCATTCCTCCTTCTGAACACCTGAAGCCATGGCTAGATGGAATCATTTAAAGTCTCCAGTGCAGATGAGTTAACATCCTCACAGAGATACAGAGACTGTGTGCATAGGTCACAGAGGGGGAGACTGTAATGAAAGAGTTTCTTCTGCTCCTCTGGCCCTTAAGTCAACTTAGAGACTTTAATCTAATATTTAAAATCCAAACAATATATTACCTCAGAACTTTGGAGTGTTCATGGATTTCTGGCAATTGAAAACAATCACGCATGTGTCAGCTTTTTGTTTTTTCCAGAAGTTTCTACTAAGTACCCTTTGTGCCAAAACATACACTATGAAGATGTACAGAAAAAAATACATATAATGGTGTCTGTCTTCAGATGAACTTTACTTTTATTTGAAAACAAATACTAGACCAAGTTAGTTGCACCTGGGCCAAGACAGCATTTATTACCATGATGCCATGTGCATCTCTAACAGGGAAACTGTGATGTCTTTTCAGGATCTGAACATAACTGGTAGCTTGGATTCTGATTCTGAGAGTCCTTGAAATGTTTGGGCATTCTCATTTCCCAGCACACAGATCCAAGTACATTTCCAGAACTCCCCTTGGAGAGGGACTGTGAAAATCATTATCATTTATCCTCATCCCAGAGTTGAAATGTCCTTTCTCTTGGGATCCTGCCCTCCCCTCCAGGTGATAGATCCATTATCTGAAATTGGTTCAGATCAAGGCTAGTGATTATAACCTTTTATCTATGCTACCTCCCAGCCTCCTATAAATATCCTTGATTCCATTTAATTGTTTCCTCCCCATTCCTTTTTTCTCTACAGACACCTTGTTTTATTTGCCATCTTCAGAATTTTCTCTGGTCAGGTCTGCTGGCTGTCACTCCAACCATATTATAGACTGAATGAATGTGTTCTCCAAAGTCCATTTGAGGAAACCCCAACTCCCAATGTCTCAATGTGTTTGGAAGTGGGGATTGGGGGGATTAGATAATGAGTGTGGGGTCTTCATGAATCTAATTAGTGTCCATATAACTCAGAATCATAAGATCCATTCTCTCTCTCTCTATCTCTCTCTCTCTCTTCATCATGTGAGGACACAGTAAGAAACTTGTCATCTGTAAAGCTGGAAGACGACCCTTACCAAGAAAATAACAATGCTGGCACACTGATTTTGAACTTACAGCCTCCATAACTGGGAGAAATAAATGTTTGTTTTCTAAGCCACACAGTCTATGGTAATTTGCTATAGCAGCCTGAGCTAAGACAAAACACAATGCTCGTTACTCTCATTGTACGTACTTGGATTCTGATGTTTAAATACCAACACTTGGCCTCTGTGTGTCTGGCTTTATCATTCCCCAGTACTGTCAAGGCATCCATTTCTGCAGTAGTGGATCAACCCTTCTGTACTTGTCTACAGCAGAGACACCACCACTGAACTTAAGGTTGATGGGAATTCCTCTCAGCAGTGAATATTCTTAATATTTAGCAATTTGTTTTTAAACACATTAAAAGTGTAATTCAAACCTATGAAGTAAAGGTTACTCTTGCTGAGATTTCAAGGGGTAACAGGAAATTTCATACCTTATTTTTGAGGCAAATGTAAGGGATTAAAAACCAAGGCCAAAGTGAAAACAAGATTAGGATGCAAATTTTATTTTCTAGTATTTTGATCTTAGTCTTAGACCCCTTATTGAAGAGGTTAATATAATTTCTAGAAGCAATGAGCAATTCCATTTATTCACATTCCATTTACTATTTTAAGTATTAGTATTATACTTTGCTTTCTTTGTTATTTGAGATATGATAACACAAGCTATCTTTGCAAAATTGAAAAGATAGAGTATATAATGAAAATCATGTGTCCTTTCCATCCCTGTTGCCAAGCTATTCTCTCCAGGAAGAAGCAATGATACCAATTTCTAATGAATCTTCCAGAAATGTTCTATATATACATATGTATGAGTGCCCACAATAATTGCCTTTTTTTATGGTGAACATTTTATACTAACTGTTTTGTGCCTCATTTTTTCACTCTACAGTATATCTTCCAGATTGTTCTATACTTATACAAATAGAGCTCCACTATCTATTTACTAGCCATTTAGTATTCTAGTCTATGTGCATGCAAAATAAATATTACCAAATTACATAAATGAGCATTAAGTGGTTTGCAATCTTTTGCCATTAGAAGCAAAGCCACAGTGAACCTCTTGTATGTATGTACATATGCATATATATGATTTTGCACACATATATGTTTCCTAAAAGTAAACACACTATATTAAATTGTCCATGCATTTATTCTATCTAATGTGGGCCAGATATCAATATTCTCTAGAAGCCACTTTTTATATTCAAAGCATTGCTGAATGAATGTGAAAAGCATGCATATCAGAAATAGGCCAGAGCATATACATGTATAATATATTATATATCTGATTCCTTTACAAGGAGAGCTACTTCTTTTTAAATACTGAGCCAACTCCTTTCACAACGTTACCAAGAATGTTAGCTGGGGCAGGCAATAATGAAGTGATTCTTTTGCCAAGGTTGTCCAAGGCTTGTGCAAGCAAGGTACTATCATCATTTTTAGTATCAACAATCCTCTTTCTCAAACGATTTATCTCTGCATTCATCTCCTCACATTTCTTTCTAAATCCTTCAGTATGCAGATCTTCTTGGACCTTAAAAAAAAAAGTGAGGAAGGAAATAAAACTTTTTAAATCCCCCATTTTTTTAAGGATTTCATTTTGTCAAACTTTAAAACTTTGTCAGACTATCTTGTATTAATTCCTAAAATTGTTCTCTCTTAATCATGAAAGGAGACTCTTGTAACAAGGAATATTTCCTGGTTTGGACATAGATATTAAGAGAAAGTGTAGTTTACAGCCTTAATAATATTCATATACTGTAAGGTTTGGCCAGGAGGCTAAGCCTGACATGAGGACAAATGTAATATGTTCCAGTCAAAAAATGCAAGTGAGAGGTAGCCTTGGTCTAACTGCACTAATTCTCAGTCCCACTCAGGATGGTACTGTCACCCATATTGTAGAAATCTGTTATAAACACATGGTCACAAAATTATAAGAATCTCTTATAAATCATGTTCAGATGGACAATGAGAAAAATCCCTCCAAGCCACATGATAGCTTGGGGATCTGTCCACACCTGGAGGCAATGCAGCAAGTGTAAAATCTATCATTTCCCTGTGTTTTTAAGTCTGGACATTTCTAGTAGTTTTATGTCAGCACAGATCTACCTCAGAGCCTTGGGCTGAGCAGGGCTTCTGGTAAAACGTAGTGATCTTGGTAGAGCATACTAGTTGTTGCACATATTAAACACAGTAGTTGGAATACCTGTTCAATCAAGCCCTATGAGATAATTTTAAAATTCCTAAAATGACTATTAAACCCTATTTATATTATCTGAAAGCTTGGAGTGGGGGCCATGGTTATCCTGAATTCTCCAAAGTCTACTTACAGAGTAGAACTCAAAGGTTTTGGAAGGATACAAAATCTTCAGGGTTTTAAAAAAATCACAAGCAGTAGATGCACTGGTGATCCCTGCATGATCTTGCTGTAACACCCACCCATCCCTTGCTGAGGAACCAGCACAGGCTATCAAGCTCTACTACTACCACAGCATGATTCACCTTCAGCTGATGCTCCAACATCTTGCTCTGCTCTCTCAGCAGGTTTTCTCTTTCCCTCACCAGCTTCTCCATCAGCTGGTCTATGTGTTCCTGGAGACTCCTATTCTGAGCCTCCACCTGCTGCTGCTGCTCCTGCAGTTTCTGTTTCAGCAGCTCCTGTTCTTTCTCAGCTGTCTCCTTCCTGGCCCACTCCTCTGCCCCAGGGAGGTTTTAGAGAGGGAAGAAAATAAGGTAAGAAATGACCTCCACCCTCCTGAGCTCAGAGACAAAACCAAATTGAAGAGAAAGGTAGGAAATCTCTGAAGTCCACCCGCACCCCATGTCCACACCATTAACAGCACACTTCAGAATGTGAGGGGAAAGGTTCTGTCTGTCTGGCATCCAACCACAGTTCTATTTGCTGTTTCCAAATGCAGCAGGGTTGTTCCACAGAAAGGAAGGAAGCTCCTTGTATTGGGAAGGTTTTGCTCTCACACCTGTCAGAGGGCACTGCAAGAACCTACTCATCTCACTGTGAGCCCAGCCCTACCCCGTACCTGCTATGGCCTTCTCCCCATCAGTGAGGGATTTATCTGCCTGCAGGATGGATTTCTCTATTGCCACCTGTGACTGCAGAAAGCTCTGGAGGACCTCATTTGCCTGAGGAACCAAGAAGGAGCACAGAAATTAGATTTCCAATAGAGAGATTAGTACTGCCAAGACAAGTATGTCCATGTAAATTTTACTTCATGTTTAAAATTCCATAATGGTTCCTTACAAGTCCAATCTCCTTAGAGTGACCTATCTCCCTCCAGTCTCTTGCCCAGTGCTACTTCTTCCTCTGCACCCTAGATTCCAGCTAGTCAGAACAATGTTCAGTTCTACAAACCCAAAATCTCTGGTTCTTTTACATACCTGCCTTCCCAATGTGAAATATTGCCTCTAAGTTGTGCTACTGTTCTCCTCTGCCACTAGCTGATTATAACTTTAGACAACTTATTTTAACCTACCTATGCTTCTCAGTTCAGATTTTTAAAATGTTGATAATGAAAGTAGATGCTTCTTAATGCTATTTGAAAGATTAAATTAGTCTAGGGAAAGAGCTTAACATTTTGGCTATAGGAAACAAAAGTTCAATATATATTAGTTGCATTATTATTGTTGTTGTTTTTTATTTTTATGATTGTTTCTACCACCTAAGTAGCTCTTTCCTGAGTGTTATAACTTTGTATGCAATTGTTTATGTAGTTGATTTCCTACCTCAATTGTAGTCATCCTTGGATACAAAGACTGACTTGTAAATTGTCAGTGCTCAACATATCAAATATCATGTTGTTGAGTAAAAAAATGAATAATTTCTGTTCTGTCTCTTGTGGATTTAAGAAATCTGTACTCATGGTTGGGAGTCGACATTTCTACTCTCTTCAGGAATAAATAGCATGCAGTGGACCTTAAGAGCCAAAACTGCTCAAATGGCCCCATGCTCTCTCTTTATGCATGCATGGAGCTGAGCTCTCAGATTTTCAGGAGACCCCTTTGACTCTATTCTGTAGGTTCCCCATGTTTCCCTTATTCCTTACCTTCACTCCTTTCCTGGGCACTTGATGATATTCCCTTTCAATAATTTCCTTTGCTTTCCTGTAGAGATCATGACCTCCAGGAACAGAGAAAGTTCCTGCTGAGATACTTTCCATTAGTGTCTTTGAAAGCTGATCAAGTTTAGTCTGGCAGTATTTGATTGATGTCTCTTCATTCTGCATCAAGAAATCCTCTTTCTTATTCTTTATGATTTCCTGGAGGGTAAAAAGATAGATGGATGTCACCAGAAGCAAGGAACAGAGGAGGTAAATTTCCAAAGTATCTGGTAGAAGGATTGGTCTAACTGTGGTCCTCATGAGAAAAGTATTCTGTTGGAGGACATGTAATAAAACAGCAGTCATAAGAGTTGATTTATTTACAGCCCTGGAAACTCTGGAAGACCATGGTAAATTTCCCTAACCTCCTTTTGGGTATTTCATCTGAGCTGTTGGAGTTGCATTACCTAATCTCTGTGGTTCCTTGAAGCTGCCACATTCAGTGATTCTATCTGTCTTCAATGATAGATACAAAAAGGAGTAACCTAAGCTGAAAGTGGCCTGAGATGTGGATCTGAAAAGAGAAATTTTTGTTCCTAAGCATAGGAGCGTGTTCACAGAAAAAGAAACCAGCTAAAGAATGTCTTTTGGGCGTTCTGCACAGGCTTGGAATCCACAGAAGTATTTATTTTAAGAGGATATCTATACTGATTTTGCATTGAAGGTCAAAGAGTGTTCCAGATAAACTGTCTGAGGTCTGGCAGTGAAAAAAGAAGGAAATGTAGTCCTTTGAAACTCTGTCCCTCATGAGGACATGGACTACTTTATCCCTGAGTAAGAGATGAGCCATGGGACCAGTAACGGCACTTCTAGGCTTCATTCTTCAAGGGGAAGAGACATATGGTAAATACTAAGACAGATTACCACAAGATTCTTCTGGAACTCCTGCTTGTCATCCTTGAAGGAGTGCTCCATGAAGACTGCAGTGGCTTCCCTCTCACAGGCAACATGCTCCTCCAGCAGCTCCTGCAGTGTGTCTGTGGGGAAGCTAACTCTCTGGGCCATCTGCTTGCTGTAGTGGTTGGCTGCCTTCTGAATGGCAGCTGAGTTCTCCAGCTGGGCCAGAGATGTCACTGCGTTCTCCAAGCAAGGTACTGCTCTGCTATTGATAGTGTCCACGTAGGTCACAAGAGTCCTCAGCCCTGAAGAAGCCAGAAAATTTAGGGGCTAAATATCAAGTTATCAGTCAATGGCTCCAGGATTCTGAGACTTCACTTCTAGGATCATATACACATGCACACACACAAACACACACATGCACCCCAAACTTCTTCTATTTTTATCACCTTCATTTTCCTACTGACCCTTCATTTTTATGGTTTTCCAGGCCACAGGACTAAAAATGTTAATATCTATTTCTATCTAACATACTAAGGGTTACCTGAAAAATACAGTGTCTCATTTTAAAAATTGAAAACAATATAGATTTCATAGGTAGGCATATGAAGGAAGGTGTACCACGTTTAATTTATTCCTAATTCTGAGGCTTTGAATGGATTTTCAGTGATTTATGGGCTAATACTTATTTTTGGACCACTCTAAATTCTCAAAATATCTTTTGAATTCTCCTTGTGAAGAACACTTACTGTATAGGGCTTCCTTTGAAAATATTGAGTATACTGTTTTTATACCAAGAGAGTGATTTCATTCTAAGTGGAGGATGTTTTCAGATAAATGGAAGCCACAGATATCAGTGACAAAAATTGCAATTTGGGGGAGGGATTTGTAAATCCCCCAAAGTGAGATAATTATAAGGTATACAGATTTCTTCATGGAGTATAAATGTCTGTAAAATCAGAATTCTTTATAGAATCAAACAAAAATACTAGAAAACTCATTATATTAAATATTCAGCACATATCAGTACCCACGGAAATGGGAAAAAGAGACTCACGTTTCCCAGTGACCATGATTCTTTCTGTGAGGGTCTTGGTCCTTGCATCAGCGAAGATGTAAGAACAGAAATTTTTTGTTTGCTCCTGGAATTTAGGATCCAATTGGTCTTCAGATACCATCCCAATATTGGCTAGAATTTCTTTGTCATTTGTTGGCCGGTCAAAGACAAAACACTTCCGTCTTGGAAAGAATTGCCTGATGCACTCTCTGGGTAGATTGGATGTTTGGGCTTTAGGATTCTTCCCTGAGGGACAGAAAAACAGGGATTAAAGTGTGGAGATTCTTGAGGCAAGGTGGCTACAGGTGCTTCCAGCAGGGATTTGTGTGTCTTTGCCATCTTCTATGCATAGAAATCCTTTAACATAGTCAATACTTCTTTGCACATCAGACTTACACCAATGATATAACTGTTGAGAAATGTAGGGAGAAATCTGATACAGTAAAGCAAACCTATGGCTGGTCTCTCCAGACCTGCACAGAGTAGAGTGGTTGTCTATTAGGTATCTACTGAACTAGCAGCTAAAAGGATGAAAGGTCAAATTAAACTTTCTACTCAACTCGACCTCATGTAGGAATTGAGCTGTGAAAGCAAAAAGAAGAGCTAAAAACAAGGGATCATGGACAATAATTGGAATATTAGGAATGACACCATCATTATATAAGGAAAACTGTTTTGATGCTAAAAGTAATTGATGTAGTGTTATCTATTTTTTAGCAAAAACCTCTGAAGGGTAAATGCACCTGAAATGTAATTTTAAGGTATCACCACTAATCTATAAACTCTTGAGTAAATGATTATATCTGGTCCTCTCCTGCCATCCAATCTCTCAATAGGTGTTTTGAGAAAGCATAAATAGAAACATGAAAGTAAGAATGAATAAATTGGAATTGATATTTTTCACAAGGTTTCGATAGACACGCATCCTTGTAAATGTAACCCATGAAAATAATTTATTATCTTGTAATTAAATCATGGGTAAACATGTGGGAATTAAGAGAAAGCTATGATGTGGAAGATAAAATGAATGTTCTAATAATTAGTATTATTGAAAAGGCATAGATTGTAAAGACAGTCACTTCTTCAGGTTTATTTAGAGCATACAATCATTTTGTAGATGATATAATTATACAGGATTAGAAAATTATATATCCCTCTTTGATAAAAATAATATGTGAAATATATATTTTGTTCATTAGATAGGCTTTTCACTGCAGTTTCATGTCTAACAATTAGCTGATTAGTTGTTTTCTTCAACAGAAACAAGCAGAAGCCAAAATAGG